GCCGGGGATATAGCTCAGCAGCACAAATACCTGATTGGCGAGCACAAGGTCCTGAGTTCGATTGCTTTTACCAAAATAATAATAATAATAATAATAGTAATAAAAATAATAAAATAACAATAATAATGATAATAAATCCTCATTCTTGCTACTACCAGACCCCAGTTACTACCATTCTGTTTCCATCTCCTGAATCTAAGTGTCCCTTCTGTACGTGGAGCAATACTGTATTTGTCCTTTTGGCTTATTTCATTAGAATGATGTCTTCAGAGCTCATCCATGTCAGAACATGTATCAGAATTTCATTCCTTTTTTTGTTTATGTGTTTTTGAGACAAATCTCCCTATGTAGTCCAGGCTGGCCTCGAACTCCCAGCAATCCTCCTGCCTCAGCCTCCTGAGTGGTGAGATTACAGGCACCACCACGCCGCAGTTACCGTTCACAATTTTTGAGCGTCTGCCCTAAACAAGGCAGGCGAGTGGGGCAAAGCCGTTTCTGAATATCTAACAGCTGGCCTTTGGGAGCTGTTGGTGCAGTGGGGAAGACAGAGGCTGTGGCTTGGAGCAGGCTTTCACCTGGAGGAAGGGCCAGGCCACACCCTCAGGGACACTGAAGACTGATGGTGTGGGGGTGTCCCCAGACCAGACAGGCCCAGAGCCCAGAAGGGCGCCCGGAGACAAGAGACAGCCCGCGAATGCTGGGTGGAGTGGATGGGTGGAGAGGGACCGCGCTGGCCCTGGCCCTGGCCCTGGCCCTGGCCCTGGCCCTGGCCCTGGCCCAGGTCGCCTGCGGTTGCTGGGTGATGGCCCTGGTGCTTACTTTGTGGCTGGCTCGGGGCTCCCACTTTTCTGCAAGTGCTTATTTCCCGCCATGAGCAAAGACGTTTGTCCCTCGGCGTCCTGGAGGCGGGAGCCGGCCCTCCTGCTGGGCAGGGACTCTGCCAGCCTGGCACCTTCGCCTTGGTCCTTCCCTGCTGGGAGCAGCCTCACCCTCACTGGGGCCTCACGGGGAGTGGGCTGGTGGCCTGAGGGGCCCTGATGCCGTGTGAATTCATGAGTTGTCTGCGTGTCAGTCTTGGGCACACATGGCTGGGGGTCTACACATCTGGATGTGTGACAGTATGAAAGAGTGACCATCCAGCATGCAATCAATACGGCTTGCAGTTATTAAATGCTGCCTGTATGCTTTGGGCTGGGCTGAGACTTTCTTTCATTGCTTTATCCTCCTGACACCCTTTGAGAGCTGGGTAATTTGCCAGGGTGTCCCAGCTAGAAAGTGGTGGGGCTGGGCGTGGTGGCACACACCTGTGATCCCAGCACTGGGGAGGCTGAGGCAGGAAGATCACTAAGAGTTTGAGGCCAGCCTGGATACACAGTGGGACCCTGTCTCAAAAAAAAAAAAAAAAAAAATTGTGGAGACTCAGACCCAGGAGTCCTGGACTCCAGGCCCACATGCTAGCCCCAGTTCACCCCCGTTCGGCGTCTCTGTGCCCTGGCCCCTCCGGGATGGTGATGGGTGCCTGACATCCCAAGTGTTTTCTCCCCACCTCAGCCTTCCTTGGCTGTGGGCCAGCATAAGGGGGAAGGGTGGGGAGCCGGGGTCTGGGAGACCCCCTGAATCACCCCCTGCCCCCGGCTGGACCCGCTGCGGGGTCCCAGGTTCCCAGGAACGAGAGGGTGCTGGCTTGCCCAGCCGGCTCCCCTGCTTGGCCTGTGGGGACCCGTCCTGTAGGGTGGAGCCTCTGCCCGCAGTGCTGGGAACCCGGCTGTGAATGGGCCGAGGGTGGGGGAGGAGACCGGGCCAGGGCTCAGGGGCGTGGGCCAGAGGGCGGGCCGGTGTCGCATTGCCCGCATGCCTGGGATGGCGTGGGCGCTGGCTTTGCCTTGTCGCGGTACGAGCTGAGGGGGGTGTCCTGGGGGGGTGTGGTGGCTTGCGGGACCAGTTGGTGCTTTGTGAAGGCTGGGTGATTCTTTGGGGACAGCCGCAGGGCTCATCAGCACCGTCAGCTCGTGGTTTGGGGCCTGGATTCAGGAGGAGGTGCTGACCGAGCCAGAGGGGAGGAGGAAAAGCAGACGGCTGACCGCGTCCCCCGCCCTCACTTCCTGAGCCCCTTGGCCTGGGAGATGTCAGCATCCCTTGTTCTCTTGTCCCTGACTCCTTGCTTCCTCACGCCGAGCCGGGGACCTGCCCGCCCTCCAGCACTGCCCCTTGTGGCTGGGGGTCGCCGGAGTCTGGGACTTTGGGACTTTGGGACCCCCCCCTTCCCTCCTCAAAGTTTCAGGAGCAAGGAACTCCTGAGAGCAGGTCTGCATAGTCCCCAGGGTGTCCCAGGCCTCGGCCCACAGCCTGACGTGGAGAGGTCTGGGTGAGAAGTTAGAGCCCTGGATCTGGGCCCAGCTTCCTAGAAGCAAGGCCTTGAATCAGCCTTAGCCCCCGGAGCTAAGAAGGGCATTAAAACTGGTGGCACGCGCCCCTGGGACACTAGCACTCAGGAGGCTGAGGCAGGATGGCCCCGAGTTCACAGCCTGGCCTCAAAGCCAGGCTGAACTACATAGCGAGACCCCGTCTCCAAACAGAACAAAATAAATAAACAAAAAAGGATCCCTGCCTCCTTGGCCAGCTAGCTGTTGGCGGAAAAGTCAAATGGCAGCTAGGGAGAGTGCTTTTGGGGTGCACTCCCTTTGGGGTGCAGCCTCCAAGCCCCTCCCTGGGGCTCCCCCGGAAGACAGGGTTGAATGGATTTTGCAAGCTGGTCAGCGTGGGGAGGCCACGGAGGACTGGTCCTCGGGCGGTTCCTGCTGGGGAGGAAGCGGGAGGGGAGGACTCACAGCCTGCAGGAAGGCTCAGAATAGAATCTCAGCACCGCCTGGTATTTCCCAGCCCGGCCCCTCCCCCGTGGCGCTGGGGCCCACCCCACATTCCTTTCCCAGAGGAAACGGGGAGGGAGCCGGCTCCCCAGGCCCAGCTCTGCACATCCCCGGGGTGGGAAGCACAGGTCGCAGGCCTGGTCTGGCCCTTTCCAGGTGTCTGAGGGCTTGGGCACAGAAACCCAGGCTCCATCTCCACCTCTCTTTCCTGTAGTCCCCCAAGCCTTCACAAGTTTTTGATACAGGGCTCCAACTCAGGGCCATCCTCCTGCCTCAGCCTCCTGAATGCTGGGATTACAGGTGTGGGCCGCCATGCCTCAGCTTTGAGAGGGAGGCCTCCTGTCCCTCAGAGACAGCATAGCACCTGTCAGCCCAACTAGGCTATGGGCATGAGAGGGGACAATCCAGGCTCCGAGGTCTGTGCAGGGCATGTGACAGGGAGGTGCCCACCGGGCAAAGGCAGCAGTGGGGCAGACCCAGAATCCTCAGTTTCCCAGCTCCACAGGGCGGGAAGAGGGTGTGATGGATGTGCCCCCCGCTGTCCCTTCCCTCTTGCCCCCAGGCCCTCCTGACTCAGCGGCCACAGTTCTTTCTGAGGGCTTCCGCTAGGAAGGGGGAGGGGGTCCGGCTCCGGCTCGGGGCCACCAGCAGCAAACAGGAAACAGGAGAACAGAACCGCTCCCTGGCCTCCTCCCTTGCTTCTGCTCCTGCCTACCCCAGGCCCCGCTCTTCCCCCTCCTCTCTCCTGTCACCTCCCCTGGCGTGGGTACGGCATGGGCATGGACGTCCGCCCCTGGGTCACCTGCGCTTTCCCTCCCCGTGTGGTCCTTGCCTGGGCCACGGATGACAGGATGGGGAGGGAGGGGAGCGGCCTCTTCTGCCTCAGTCTCCCTTCTGGCAGCAGCTCTGGAGAGGCCCAGGCTTGCAACTGCCACCTCTGGCTGCCAGCTGGGGCTTGGGGGGTCGGACGCAAAGTTGGAATTTGGGGCCCTGAGGCTGGTGTCCGGGGCTGCTGGATCCGTGCGGTGCTGGGTCCCAGCTGCGCTCTCCGGAAACTGGGCCGCAGTCCCGGCCCTGGGCTACACTGTAGTGCAGCAGGGCGCAGTTCGGCGGGACAGAACAGGGAGACTGGTGACACACGCGCCACCCGAGGCCTGCCAGCCCTCCCGGGGAAGGGAAGGGACTGGAGGGCAGCGCCGGGAAAGGAGGGCAGGCCTGGCACGGTGGCTTCCTGCCTGACTCACAGAGGGGCGCGGGCTGTGAGGAGCTGCTGGGACTGGGGCGGTCCGGGGTGCGGGCTGCACCCGGGGCCCAGGTGTGCTGCCGCTGCGGGGGTCGGTGGGCAGCCGCAAGGGACCTGTGTGGGCGCCTGCCACGGGTGTGCCTTCGGGCTCGGTGGGTATGCGGCAGATGCGTCCCTGGGGCTGCGGGGTGTGCCCAGGTGTGCATGTGCAGGCCGGGCAGGGCGTCCACGCAGAGTGAGTTCGCGAGGGCCGTGTTTGTGTGGGGCGCCTGGGCGGAGGTGAGCGCGGGTGTGTGTGTGCTGCGGCTCCGTATTTCCGTGAACCTGTGTTTCTCCGGGTGTGCATGAGTGAGGAGGGTGTGAGGTGCACGACCAGGGGCGTGAGTGAGCGAGGCCGTGGAAGGCTGTGCTGTGTGTGTGTGTGTGTGTGTGTGT